TTCAACTTTTCAACTTTTCAACTTTTCAACTTTTCAACTTATCAACTTTTCAACTTTTCAAGATAAATAAAGACAACCGTTAAAATATTAAAAATAAAAAAAATTATTATTATTATTCTATGATTCTACAATACAGAAATGTGTATATAAAATATTTTTTATTCCATGTACAAAAGAAAAAAAAACAAATCTTGAATAAAAAAAGAATTTATATAAATATACTATTCTAACATTCGATTTGTACAGATTGCCGACACTGGTAAAAACTCGAAATAGCCCAAATTGGCGACTGGCTATTTTTGCTTTTTTTTTCAAATAGCCGAAAGCACATACTTCTACTATATACAGCTCATTTCTAAGCCAGACAATATTCAAATGGTCGTAGGGCGTAGGGGCAATTAAGGGGGACTAGAACTGTTTGTGCTATGCACATGCGTTAGTTCGTACTGCCCGTATTGCCAGATTGTCAATTATTTAATTTTTTAAATAATTTTTTCTAGTTAATTACTGAACAAGACTAATTAGTGTAAATAACAATAGCATTAAATTGCATAATCATAAAAATTTATGTCGAATAGAGAACTATCAGTTGCACTAAAATTCTTTATAATACAATAAAAAAAGTAATATTCAATTATTATTATTATTAATCACAACGAAAAAATTAACCTTTTTGAGAAAAACACTATTTACTGACTGGTAAGTGTTCTTAAAAACAATTTTAAATTAGGCAAACTTAAATAATTGCAAATTGAAAAAGGAAATGTGTCAAAATTTGTGTACACCTTATATTAAACAGGGTACTTAGTTCACTCTTAGCACCCAAGATGAAGATTCAAATGTTACTATAATTTCTTATCTCGGTATAAGCAGAGTATACTGTCTACATTTCATTAAAATTGACTACAGTTTCAGAGGTATTTCTGAAAAACCTTCACAATGTAACTTTAAAATACGAAAACTTCTAAAAGGAAGGAATTGTACAACACTAGATTAGTCTTATGGCGAGATGTCATTCTTAAACTTTAGTCTTACCTTCGTCCAAATTAACCGTTCATAAAATATCTCCCAATGCTTCTGGGACACTCTGTATATCAGATATTTACAAAATATAATTGATTACTCTGAGATATTTGCTTTCTCATTAATTAAGAGCCGATTTCATGAAAAATTTTAATGCTACCTTAAATTAAACGGCCCATTAAGTTATTGTCCTAACACTGTTTCCAAGGTAAATCATTTCATTCAATTTTAATGTTGTATTAAATTTAACTGTGCAACGGGCCCTAAGTAAAATGAACTAGAGCAGCCACAGTAATCCGCAAGCCCACAATAAGTTAAAAACTTTAATGTATCTGTGGTGACATCAGTAATTACTTTAAATTGAAAGTTGCGCTTTATTATGGAGCGTGCGCAAATGCTACATAGTTCTGGTTAGGCACTTGTATTCCTCTCAGTTTCGTTCACAAGGTCATACATTGAAATGATATGAAGTGCGCGGTAAATAGTAGAAGTATGTGGCCAAAAGTCATCTGAGATAGCCCAATTGGCGATAATAAGTAGCCCAATCTGGCAACCCTGGTTATAGAGAATCCATAAATAAGAACAAAGAGAATCCACTTAAGACGATCAATCCCCTCCTAGTAAACAATTGGCACCAAGCACTCCAAGCAGAGCACAATAGCACAGTATATAAAACAATTTTATTTGCTGTGACAATAGGACAGCAAATAAAACAATCAGCAGTCAAGGTTTCGGGCGGCATCTTTGATCTATTGAAATCACATACTTCTACACATAAACAAAGCATTTTGAAAGGGAATTGAAGCCAAAAAGTGGGGGTGTTGCATTTTGTGTATTATACGCACGCGCTATGATTCATTTTCCCATTGGTCGGTTTGTCGGTTAACGTCATTGTCATTTCCGAAGATAGGTTATGAATTTGAATAGAAAGACAGCTGAAAACGATTTGGCAAACAAAAAAAAGGAAAGGAAACGAGGCAGACCCATAAAAAACATGGGATCAAGGACCAAGTAGTGACAGAAGACTTAAAGAAAAGAGGAACAAACTGGCATGAAGCGATGAATCTAGCAAAAAATAAAAAATGGCAAAATTTGTTTATAAGTAAAAATGTATATCTTTACACCCTATGGATACTTAAGGTTTTATTGATTGAGGATTTTTATTAATTAAGGGTAATGTATTGATGAAATTGGATAAAGCAAATTTTTACGTGTCCAATCAGTAGCTAGAAATTCCACATTTTGCTAATGCATGAGACTTCGTGTTTCATGGTGAACTCTTACTGTTATATATTAAAAGGAGACGAGTAGTTTCCCTTTATATATTTTTTGTAAATGTCACAGAAATTATTTTTATAACCTGTGAAGTTACAAAGCCGCGATATATGATACCACATCTTCTACATACGGCGAAAGGTCAAACATATGGTTTTTACGTGATCATGTTCAAATAAAGAAACAACGCTTAATGTTCCTACTTGTGTTTGGATCACAAAATGGATCTGCTATTTTATTTGAAAAATAATACCTAGGGACAATTTATATCTAAAAATGGCACTGCTTATGCAATGTGTTCTAAGATCTTGACTACTAGGTTTGCATTGTATATTTAATAAAATAAGACTTGATATTTAGCATATATTAGAAAATCAAATTGAATCTGGTACAGTGAATCACGAAACACTTAGGTTAATATGATTGATATGATTTATTTTTATTATTATTTATATATGTGTTAGTTAAGGTATAACTCGTTATTATTTTTATGTATACATATTTGTACATAATGTGTATTTTTATATGAATTTTTGTGAAGATGTATCGATTTTAAATTTCAAAAAATGTTTACTATTTTATATAAATAACACACTTGTACTCTCTATTGGATTCCGTTTTATTGTACCCATTTTATTTTACATTCACCATCTAACATTCTCATAAATTACAATTAACAAGTTGTATAATTAGATATACAATATACTCTGTTAATAGTAGGTACATCAGTTATTAAATTTCATTTGAAATAATCCACTAAATTTTCGGGCTTGCGCAAAATTGACAAAGTGTACACTTTTTATCCCCTCTTTTTGGGAACAAGGTCATTCAATGTAAAAGATATGCAGTGCTCGGTATATATATAGAAGTATGTGATTGAAATTCAGTGTGTGACGTCACCGACCGCCATTTGAGGATAGAGGACAGGGCCTGATTAGGGATATTTGCAATTTTTACTCTCCTCGTTCAGGACTGTATTATCGATATTTATATAAACATATTTTCT